TTATATTCTTGTTTACTTATTTATTTTTATTTGTATGAGCATTTGCTTGCAAGTATGCACCACGTATGTGCCTGGTGCCTGTGGAGGCCAGAGGAAGTCATTGGAATCCCTTTAAGTGGAGTTACAGATGGTTGTGAGCCATTTTTTGAGTACTGAGAATGGAGCCCGAGTCCTGCAGCAGGTGCAATTTATCCAATCCCCACCAAATGTGTTGATTTTATAGCTGATTAAATTATTGTACAAATAAATTAATGATTGTATAAGGCAATTGGAAAAACTGATCGTAGCTCATGGACTACATGGTATACCTGAAATATGACCTTCAAATTCAGATAAACTATTATTGGAATTTTCTTCTAGTTATTCATTTAATCTGTATGGGTATGGAAAACTATGGAACACAGTAAAATTTTAATTTTCTCTTCAAGTAAATTGGGGTAACATTCATTGCCAAATAGGTAGAATTGTCATGATAACAAAATTATATATGTAAGTAAAATGTGTACAGAATACTGGCTATAGCAGTATACAGATATACTCAAATCATGTAAATGTTCTTTGGTGTCCAGCGTTTTCCACAACTGGATATAAATATCCCTTGCCTTTTTATCACTGTGGCAAAAACAAAATTTATTGGCTAATTTTTCCCATGTTCTCACGTGCTTCACTGGCTATTTCTTTTTAAAAAAATATTTTATGTAATTTTTTGTGAATTTCATACAATAGTTCTTAATCAAACTTAGACCCCCATCCAATCCACACACCCCCAGAGCCTTCCCCCACTGGACCTCATGTATTCTGTCATATATGTTAAGTCCTATCCAGTTAAGCATTTGTACCCAGATATCCTTCAGTGCAAGTCATTCACTGGAGTCCATCTAGAGATCGTTTTTTAACTTTTTTTTTTCTTGAAAAAAATTTTGGTACATTTTTTAATTGAAGTTTTGTGTATTTCATACAGAGCTTCTTAATCATTTTTATATCCCCTTCGGCACCCTCCCATAGCCCCTCCACTGAAGTTCATACTTTCTGTCATTTGTATTAAGGCCTATTACATAAAGTCGGCCCCAGATGTCCCTCAGTGCAAGTTCATCCACTGAGGTCTAGTCAACTTATCTAGAGTCTCTTTAAGAAGATCAGCTTTTCTGATCATTAAAAGTACTTAGCTGCCAGTAGTTCTTTGGCTAAGATTAGGGCCTGCTGCCCATTTCCACAGTCCTATGCTGGATTTTTGTCTGCTTGAGCTCCTGGGACCTCGCTAATGTGCTCCTACAGCAATGGTGTCAGCATGCACAAACCTATGCAAACTATTTCGAGATCTTAAAGAAGATATGCTCTCCCTCACCCAGTAGTAATCAGTTGCTTTCCAGGCTAGGGCTGGAGCCCGCTGCCTATTTCCCTTGCTTCATGCTGGGCTCTTGTCTGACTGGGTTGGCGTGGGTCTTGTTCATGCCACCACCATAGCTGCAAAGTTCACGTGAGCAAGTTTCCAGTGGCCTGAACTTGGGTGGTAATTTCATACTGTGATTCCCACAACTGATTGGATCAGGAGTACACATAAGAGCCAGATGTACTTGTATCTTCAGAAACTGACCAGAAAAAAAAAGCATGAAAATTAGGCTAAAAAATCAGTTAGGAAGGTGGGATTTCATGACAAGAATCGTGATGTACTTAATAGTCACTCTCCTAAGATGCTTATATCATAATCATTGTTACCTGTGGGTATACTAACTTACATAAGAAAAGAACATTACAGGTGTCATCAATTTAAGGATTTTAGATATGAGCATGAATCATCCATGCTAGGTAAGGGGGAAGGAGATTCAGAATGGTACTAGGAGATGTGTAGGTGGAACTCAGCGATCGAAGGAGTCTAAAGAAGGGTTTATGCATCAAGAGATGTTGTTAGTATTTAGAATATGAAAAAGGAAAGGCATTTTACCCTCCAAATTCCTAGAGAATTCTGCTTCGAATGATATTTAATTTTTAAAGCTCTGACTTCCAGAACTGTAGGGTAATTAATTTGCATCATTTTAAGTATTTGTTTCATTAACAATGGAAAGAGATAAAATGCTGTATAACTCATACATGAAGACACCCAAATTCTTTCCACAGAAGTCACTGGCATCATCTTGAGCCTAAGATCATAATCTTCCTTAATAATTATTTACTAATTATTTTTGTGTGTGTGAGTGTAATTTGTGTGTATGGTGTGTGTGTGTGTGTGTGTGTGTGTGTGTGTGTGTGTATGAGCAGATGAGGCATACTGTGCATGTGGAGGTGAGAGGACAGCTCTGTAGAGTCAATTCTCTCTTTCTACCTTTACACGTGTTCTGGGGATCAAACTCAGGTTGTTAGACTGGTATGCTGAGTGCCTTTATCCACTGAGCTGCTTTGCCAGCCTGTGACCATAGCCTTGATCTAATTCCCCTGAAGCCCTAAATATTAAGTCTCTCAGTTTGGTTCCCTTGGGAACCTGTGAACATCTCTATCTTGCTGACATTTCCATCTACAGTGTGAATGGGGAAGGGAGTCTTTCTTCTACTAAGCTGGCAATGTGACAACCACATTGTCTGTAACTCTTCATTTCTTGTGTTGGTAACAAGTAGCTTAGATCACACTTTCTAATGAAATAAGAAGAAGTTCCGTATTTTAAACTACCACTACAAATGAAGAAGGAGGTGTGTGCATGTATGTTTGTATTTGTGCTACTCCAGTCTTAGAACCAAGCCTAAATGTGTAGTCCACTTAGTGCTTAAGAAGGAAAGATAGTTTGTTTAGGAATATGACATTAAGAAGAAGCACAATTCCTGTCATTCTCAGAAGTGAAACCCACTTAGTGCAACAAGTACCTTTAGAGAGAATGGTTGAGTCAATTATTGTGTGTGCTTTTATTGGGCTTTGAATAGTATCTGAGAATGTTGAATGTCTTTTTCAGACTGCTGATTATGAGGAGAGGGCTGCAGGTTGAATCCCTTAAGTGATTATGAAACATGCAATTAAAATAAAAACTCTATTGTAATGACTATAATTAGGAAGAATACAGAGAAACAAGTCTTTGAAAAAAATCTATTTTTAGTGTTTTTTTCTTCTTGTAACTTTAAATGGAAGAGATAAGACAGAAGAAACAGTCATTTCAAGCATTCCTTGGTTTTCAAGTGACCATAGATGGCAGTTCTTTAAAGTCCTTGTTTAATGGCACTCTTGACAGCTTTCTCCTGAAGAAGATGCAGCAGTGTTAAGCAGCAGCAGGATGCCATCTTGTAACGAGTTCAGTGTTCTATGGAAAAACCTTGGTAGATTAGAGCAAGAGAATTTTAAATGCTGACTCAGCAACTCCCTCTAGAGCACTTTCTCAATCAAACCTTGGATTCAGGTTAAGGTGTATATGTGAGGTGCTTTCAAAGTCTATGGACCCCAAATTCCTACTACCAGAAGCTAATTAAATTGTTTTGAGGTGTGGCCTGGCCTGTTTATGTTCTGAAGTTTCTTTCATGCAGGTGTTTATGAACTTTGTCCTGGACTGCCATCCTGCTTGTGTTTCCCAATGGAATCTATAAAGTGTTTGGATCTACCCTGGCTCCATCCCAGTGAAAGCCATTCAGTTTTTGGCCCGTTGAAACCTCAAAAAGCATGGAATTATTCCCTCCTGGAATGACCCAGCTTAAGCCTGACACCCAGGGAAATATGTCTTGCAAGCGGTAATATAGGCAGTCGGATGGTGCTGCATGGAAGCCGTAGCAATGTGATCAAGGCACAAGCAGCACTTCTTTATTTGGAACAGACATGAGTTAATGCCCATGAAAGTGGCAGTAAGGATGCTCTAGTTATAAGAGGGAGTTGCAGTCTTTAAACTGATTTGGGGGCCGGGGATAAGGGTGGGATGGGAAGGATAGGATGGAGGTAGGGTAATGAAATTGGGGTGGGGATGAAAGTTTGGTAATAGCCCATTCACAGTCATGGTATCCAAAACTGATTTTGATTTTTAGAAGAAACACACCTCTGCTTCATATAGCCTTGGATAAAACAATTCTCAAATGGTCATTATGTGACACGTACAGAGATGAGAAGAGTTGGGCTCAAAGATTTTGGAGCTGCAAAATAGGCAGACATGAAGTAAAGACAGAGTTAACAAGATGTTTATACTGTTTCATTAACCTGTCAATTATACATAAATTCCCATAAAGTGTCAATATTTCTAGCACAAGAAGTCAAGTTGCAGAACCTGTAACCTACTCAGTTATCACAATCCCTGTCAGAGGTGTTATCAGAGTTAGTGGGATGCTAATACTGTATTGTCATTATCTAGATACATGGCCTTGAAATAATGAAGTTAACTATGAGTAATAAAGTTACAAGTCTTTTCTAAGACTTTTCTTTAGTAACAGTTATCTCTTATCCTTGTCATTTTGGGTAGCTCCACTGTTTTTAGTGTGTTTGAGTCATTAGAACTTCCCAGTTTTTTTGACATCTGGTGTCTATGAGAAAGCTGTTGATAGAGTACAAGGAAGGAAGCAGGAGACATTGCACTGTTCTCTTTCAATATATATTTTTTTATTTTTCAGATAACCTCTCAGATAGCCCAGACTGATCTCTTATTTCCTGATTCTCCTGCTTCCATTTCCCATCTGTTAGGATTACAGATGGCCCCATGCTTGGCTCACATTGGGCTTTTAGTAGGTGTTAGATTAGGGACACAAAGAGTTTTTCCTTTGTCTTGCCTAACAGAGACAATAATTTAAGGTCTAGAAATATATCTAAGTAATCTAACAATTACACCAGTTTATAAATTAAATGTTATCAAAACTCAAGATCATTGCCACCAGTTGTTTTCTTCCCCATAACAAAATGCTTTGACAACTCTCCGCACATTAGGCAGAAAGATGGCAGTATTTTCTCAGGGAACTGTTTTAGTGTTACAGATTCAACCCTTTGTCCCAAGATATCTTACTTTGCTTTTTGTTTTTCCCTTACAAGTCTTTCTTTTACTGGTCTTTAACATGCACCTAAGTCAAGGGGCCTGCTGTTAACAAGTATCCTAACCCAATTAGCCGGGAAGAAGAGGAATGCATTATGCAGATGTGCGGACATTAAAAGTTACCCTGCCTTAATTGAAAGTGTGTTTTCTCCTAGATTTTATAGCCTTGTTTATTGTAATACTAATGCAGTAATTTAACATAAGTATCGTTTTTAAAATTATAGATATTAACTTTCATCTGATCTCCAGTGGGATTTACCCTAAAAGTGGTGTGTGATATAAGGAAGTTGTAGGATTTTGTGTATACTATGGAAGAGCTTAATTTTTAGAGGACAAAAAAGGGCATAGGGGATACCTTGAATATGGAGTTTTGAATGTAGAAATCTGTTTCGATAAAGTGATTAGTCTGTTTCTATATGCCAGGATTGCTAGAATGATTAAAGCCAGGGGAAGCAGGATGAAGGGTTGACTATCTTAGTATACTTCAAGTAGATGGACACAATATATAATGTTGCAATATATGCATGCATAAACATACGTGTGGTAAAAGAGCAGAAACTGTAAGTTAATCTAAGCTGTGGCTGTAGAGCCGAAGAATGAGTGGAAGCACAGTAAGAGTTCTGAGAGCATGCAAGAGAGGAAATCAGACAGTCATGATGGTCATATCAGGAAGATATAGACCGCAAGAGATAGGCTAAGGAGCACCTGTCAGGAGATTAATCTGGGCTTTGCAACTGGGCTGCTTGAACTTCATGCATTTCCTTTTTTCTTGTGAGCTATGACCAGTGGAAGGAGTCCTGAGCAGGAAGAAGCAGAAGATGATACTGCAATAATAGTAGGTTATGCCAATCTAAGTAGGCCTGGCACTACTGCAGAGGAACATTCCATTATAGTCTGACCAAGACACCAAGAATCCAATCCCTTTAGTTTCACTCAGATGGATTGTATAGGAGAGATGGTTCACAGTCTTAGCAAGCATCTAAAATGAATAGATTCTAGGAGCAAATATTAAAAGTGGGTATAGCAAACATGTTCTCTGTGAACATATAATCAATGTGAGTCAATAAGAAATAAAGACAGCTGCCCCCAAAGGCAAGCAAAGATCTGAGCTAGAAATGCACAGAGGAAAGTAATAATAGTGTGTTTACATAGTATGATTTTCACATTAACCAAACATTTAGAAGCAAATTTAAAAACAAACAATATCATGGAATTTACTGACAAAGAAGTCAAAGACTATTAACAGTTGCAAGAATAGGAGAAAATATACTGTCAGATATTACTAAGATCTGAAAATTGTAAACACTGGCAAACTCTAATATGATTAAAAATATGCCCAGCATATGTTTCAGCAACCTTAATTACACATGTCAATTCTTTTCAAATAACAGAAAAATAAGTCAAATGTTCATTTCACCTGCATTTATAATAAAAATTACAGAAATATGAAATTTATGTGAAAACAATACACAGTAGGCATGTATACACAGAACACTGACAATTAAAAGAATAAATTACAGTTACATTATACAGTATAACTGAGCAAAGTAGAAAATAGTGAATGAAAATGCAAGATGAAGTAGAATACTTATAATAACATGCACTGTTTAGGAAAACACTACAAAATATAAACCAAATGATAAACATATTAGTTGCCAATATTTTCTTTAAATAATATTCCTTCATAACAACTGATTGGAAGAAAGTGCCTTTTAGTTCCTACTTTTTTCCTCTTTACATCATTCTTGAATGTCCTTTCAACCTTAAGCCATGATACCAACCTACTTACCCATCTACCTTGTCAAATACACAGCTCATGTCTTTGCCCTTGATTTTTGCTGACTACAGCTTGACGTCTCAGTTAAATTTAATATAGACAACCACTCCTTCCCTCTTAAAATTAATCTACTACTTGATTTCCAAGATTTTATATTTCTTGTTTGCCCAAATTCCTTTTTCTATTTTTATCTCTTCATGAACTCAAAATTTTGAATCACTCAATGATTTTCACCACTGTTATTTTCTCACTTGATGTTCGTGGAGAAAGGTGTTCATCTGAAAATTCAAGTTCAAGTAGAGGAAGATAGAACTTGCAGTGTTTTCCTCTTTAGCAGTCGTTGGCATACTAGCCATGAGTTGATGTTACTAAATACAACTTCACAAAAACCCTCAGAAATTCAGACTTGTGTTAGCCTTATCTCATTGTCTCTCCTTCTACTTTATGATGGGGCATTATAATTTCTAAGACTGGATGTTACTGTAGGCTTTTAATGACCTCACAGGCTTTCTTTTCTGTGCATTGAAAACCCATTCATTATAAATAAGGAAGGATAAACCTTTTCAACTCTTAATAAGAACTTTACATTTTTATAAATAGACTAAAACCTGTCTTAACACTGATTAATTCAGGGAACATGAACCCCAAATCAATCAATTATGAAAACGTTCCCAGATTTTATAGCTTCTAATTTACCTGTAGTATGATGCTTGCTGTTGTGAAGCCATTTCCCCCAAATGGAAGCATTCTGTCTTGGAGGGAGGAAACAAGCTTATGCAAATTACCTGGTTAAGGAAGGTCATAAGCTTATATCTTATAAGTCCCTTCCCCAACATTATGTAAGAAGTAAGAATTGCTGTGGGAAAATGGACTCTCCAGCCTCCAGAGCAGTCTACAAGTTAGGCAGGGGGCTACAGCTGCCTTTGAGTTCCTAAGCTTTTGGTTCACCAAACTGTACCTGAGTGGAACTGTTTCTTTGTTCTGTCACTGGTGCCCTAATCTGTGGTGAATGAATGTTTGTGCTGAATAGATGTCCCTCTCCCATGTAGACTTGGGCAGAGATGCCAGAAAAGTCACAGGTCATCTGTATCTTTCACAGTGTCCACAAGCTGTGTATTCTCATTTTGAGGAAAAACACGACTTTCTACTCTGTGTCTACTCCTGTAAGAGAGATTGTGTCTGTTCCATCTTGAGATTACAGCAGATTGTAGATTTGACACATACCTTAGTGGCAGATTTCAGTGTTTGATTTCTATGAATTTTAGTGGAAGATTTCAACAAATGACAAAATCTTGTTGAGACAAGCATCTCAAAAAAGAGAGAGGGAGAGAAAAAAGCATTGCCGCATGAGACTGTGTAAATAGAGAAAGATTTAGTTTTCAGACTTCACTGTGAAAATTTAAGGTTAACATAAAGGTTAAACATGATTCTAGTATTCTTGAAGACTGCCAGGGGAAGCGATGGATTTGTTATGCGCTATCCTTTACAGAGAGCTGATTTATAGAGAGATACTTGTTTGATGGAGGTTATTTCCTTTTTATGTGGCCACCTGTCTCCCAGGTTGTCATTTACTTATTTGACCAAGTCTCACACAGTATATGTTGTATCCTTTGGAATTTGTGATCTTGCCCTCATCATTTAAGTAGCCACCAACTTGAGTAGATTTTTTTTTGTATAAATGAGTTTTACAATATGGACATACCCCAGACAAATACATTTTACTGAACCTTACGACTGAAAAAACTAATTGTATCTTAGCTTGTTTATAACGTAGACAAGCTCATTGAACTGTGTGCTTCTATTGTGACCTGGTCATATGGCCTGAATCCCTTATGACACGTTCTTGCTGTTGACCCAAAGTAACGTATAAATGCATGTGTGTGTGCTTGCATACCAAGCTCTGAAAATAGTGCCTTGAAAGCAATGAGATAAACTTATAGCATCTGTGTGTGGATGTGTGTGTGTGTGTGTGTGTGTGTGTGTGTGCGCGCGTGCGCGCACGTGCATGTGTGTACTCCATTCTAAGTTAGTAGGGATTGGAAAGGACAAAATTCTTCTCTGACAGGTCTGACAATTCTCCATTTAATGCTAGACATTTCATTTCACACTGTTTCAATAGAAGGGAGAGCTAGCTCTTGTTCAGGAGCTCAATTCAGAGAAAATGCTGAAGTAACAGGTTCTCAACAGCTGGCTTCACTTTGGATTTAAAATGTCTGCTAAGAGTCAGGCTGTCTTTATTTAAGCATCACCATAATGTGGCATTGCATAGTAAACACCACAGGTTTTTCCATTATTAAAATAGACTTGATCTATCACTGACTTGATCATCACCCTATAGCTGCTTTGGGTATAATACAAATTGTTAATTATAGTATGTCTTTTGAAAAAATTGTTTGGTTGGATTTTTCATAATTTTCTATGATTTGAAATTTAGTTTGGAACATTTGGCACTAATGACTCACAATTATCAGTATTGCAGTATTTAATATAACTTGAGTGAAAGCAGGGTATTGATCTTCATTAAAGTGAATTCGTCCATCTCATATTTAATTGTGATGAACATATTTAAAGAGATTATAATTTATACTTCTTGGGAGAATGATTTCAGCATCAACAGAAAAGTGTGGATCCCTTTATCACCATTTAACTAAAATAGTTTTCTTTGACAACTGGTAAAAGAATCCATATATATCCAAAATATCATTTTGTGTTTCACTTTTCTGTAATTGCTTATATATACAGCTTGAATTTACTGACTGAATAAAATAATGTGCATGTCATTATACTGTTGTAATTACCAATAGCAATAATTACCTATTTAGCTTTGTATTATTCACTGTAACTTTTTATTAGGTGATATTATCACACAAACATTTAAAATTTAAAATTTTAAGAGTTCAATATATTTAAGAATTATTATGAAAGGAAATGTAAAGAAAAAACTAAGCATTTTTTGCTTCTAACAATGTGGCAGATAAACTGTCTGGAAGATAAACATCTATATTTCAACATAAAATGTTTAGTAATACTGTATATATCCAGTGCAGAAAAAGTTAGCTAGATGACAGAGCTGTAAGTTGAAGCTCTAGATAGTTTGAGGTCTTTTGCCCATCTAGAAAAACAAAAGCTTGCATCATCACGGCTGAATGAAAAAAAGAAAGATGTTTCAGGTCTGTGCTGGATAGCTTTAGTTGTCAACTTGACACACCTGGGTAGAGTAAGCCTCAACTGGGGAGCTGCCTCCAAGGGATTGACC